TTTCTAATCCTTGCCTGCTGCAGCAAAAGCTAGCAGTTTCCTGGAGAAACGAGTAAAGCCATGACACCGTGGTTAACTCTCATATGCTGAAGGTAGAAACAGAAATTTCTTTATTCATTCAAAAATTTTATGCTCTTCGCCCAAAACAAAAATTTTTGGCGAATTTTTTCTAGCCTTGCTTGACTGCCAATGCCACGTCATTGTATAGTATGCAACGTCATCGTTACAGCTTTTGCCTTGAAAATTAATGCTTTCAATGCAAATGTGAAAGCATGTATCGATGGGTAGTTTTATCTTACTTAACACTGTAAAATTTCAGCAGTGAAATACACTTTTTAGGAGGCAGCAAAATTTCTATCATTTCTATTACAGCGGGGAAAATGAATCGGTAGTGCTTAACAAATACCCTTTTGACACACTCTAAGTGCTTAAGTTTTTTTTCGCAGTAAATGCAAGTCACTTGAAAATTACGGCAGTGGCGGGAAACTGAGCATAAGTGCCTATCATTTTTTAAACTTAACATCATTTGGCATTTAACGTAAATTAATTCTGCCGCAGATTCTGGCTAGAAGTTTGAGATAGCGCTGTTTTTGTCACACAGCTATCACCATTTCAGTTCTTTCATGCGATGCTGTACCGTATCAGTTGTGGTTCAGTTTTGGAGAGCGTGAATACCCACTGCTAGAAAATAAAAAATTCCAGAAAAAATAGAGGGCAGCGAAAGAAGCGAGCAATGACTTTTTGTGCATGTCTGTGATATAACTATACATAATTTTGCATAAATGTAGTAAACGTTTTGTCCGTACAACCTATTGCAAGAATACGTCTATAAAGTACAAACTGATATACCGGGCTTGACTCTTGGGAGGGGGGATTCTCCATGAATTCAGGATACGGACACTACTGGAGAGGTATGTTGCATGGAAACATTTCTACAAACGTGATTGTCTAAAGATACACATTGTCGCACGTCATTGCGCTTTCCAGGTGTCTGCAGAAGTGCAAGAAACGAGGAGTCACCTCAGAGTTTTGAGTAACGTTATCCATAAAGAGGAACTGATCCGTTTTTGTCAACTTTAATTGCTGAACGCATTTTCCAGAACTTGTTTCTGGAAAGACGTGAAATCTAAGGAAAAATTATGGCACGGTATAGCATGAAAACAATAATTATTAATCGTCATTCTGGAAATATCGGGAAAACCCTCTACTGGCATGAAGAGTAAAAAGCAAGACGTCAGACAAAATAATCACTTCGATTTTTTATTGTCAAAGATCAGCAGTGAATTTGTACATGAAAAGAAACCAACCGCATTACATAATAGAAAGTTACAAAAACAATCGAAGAACATGTCACGGTTGTATTAAGCAATTTTTTTTTCATATGTGTTGCTTTCATTTGTTACAGTCCGTAGGACGCCTGAAAGCGAAGCGACGGCAAATTCACCGAATATTTATTCGCCATGCATACAAGTAATATACGTTGCTTTGCCACTGGTCTCCGTTAA